CGGCCCCAGCCCCCCCCCCCCCCGCAACTGGCTGCATAGCATTTAAATGTCCTCCTTCACTTTTTTCCGCTGTTCCAAACTAAATTCCCTTTGAACACACAGAGAATATCTCTGCCCCTCCTTCTGGCAACCGGAAAGCACAAGATCAGGGAGGGGGAGAGCGGCCCCCACCCTCTGGCCAAGAAAGATTGAGCCTGCCCCATTTTACATTCATCGTCACATTCCAAATGGTTGCAACACAGAAATAAAAATCAAAACATTCCTACAGAAAAACAAAAAGTCCTCTTCCAACGCAAAGCCGTCCTCCTGAAGAAGACAACACTCGGGGGAGCTGACAGCGCCGGGGGGGGGGGGGGGGGGGAGGGTCTGCACCAACCGTCAAGAAGGTCACGGGAATGGCCCCGGAGAGCCAGGGGAGTTCTGCCCCACCCCCACCCCTTTTGCCACCACGAGGGGGGGGGAGGATGCTGTCGGCACCCCCACGGAGATGCCACCCTCCCAGGAGTCTTCTCCACCCCACAGCCGGCACACCAGGGCAGCTGCAGTCGGAAGTCTCTCCAGCCTCTTCATGTGCTTCAACAAATCCCCACCAAAACTTGGTTATTTTTGTTTTCCTTATTGCTAGGCATTTAAAAATAATACTGGGGGGGGAGTACATTAAAGGTCTTCTCCCCTCCCCAACACCCCTCCCCCCTCTGAGTTTCTCTTATAGAAAACTGATAAAGCAAACAAAAGCCCCCCCCCAATTATTCTGGAGGTGGGAGAAACCACACATCATTCATGAAGGTAAGAGAAATGAGGGAGGGGGGGACGTAACACAAAAGGAAGCTTGATAATAAAAACAAAACCCAACACCGCACACGGAAAGACCGAGAAATAACCTTCAAGAGCTGACCGGGGTTTGCCTCCAGCTAGAGAAGAGGAGCTGCGTGCCCCCCCCCCGCCTCCCTCTCCTGCCCTGGCCCTGGTTTGTGGGCCGAAAGGGCCGCGGAGTCACTTCAGAGGCAGCTCTTGTGTAAACTTTGCCCGTACCTTGATAAAGTCTTAGGATTATTTCAGTTCAAATCCCCCCCCACACACACACAAATTTTGGTGCAAAGAAAATAAGATGGGGGGGAAATATGGCAGAAGGGTGGAGGGGGCAATGTGTCCCCCCCCCCGCCCTTTTCGCAACCAAAACGAACGATCGGTAAAGGGGGTTCAATATACAAAAATAAGAAAAAAATAAAAACGCAGCCCTTGGACAGAAGCAGGCTGGGGAGCAGCTTCTCCAAATACATTCTTGAGGCAACGTCCGGGGGAGGGGGGGGCGGCGATGGAAGCGGTCGGGCGCCAGTCTCTGAGGTGGCAGCCCCTCCGCTGCCGTCTCCCAGAAGCACTATTGTGCGGAAAAGAAAGGGCCTCCCCGCCGGGCAGAAGGCACCAGCAGGAGAGAGACGCCCGAAGACCTGGCTCCGGGGCCCGGCCATCACCGGAGACCCCGGCCATCCGCAGTACAAAGGTTGGGGGGGGGTTCCCTCTCTCTGGCCCTGCCTCCTCCGCTGGGCCTTCTCTGCGGACCAATACTGACCAAAAGGAATGGGGGGGGGGGGGGAAGCTGAAGACCTCCCCCCCCAGGATGTCAGGCCGCCCGTTTGCTGGCTTTGGGGCGGGGGGCCACACAGACACGCCGGGGGGGGGGCAGATTGCCCACCCCCATTCCCTTCAAGGCCTCATCCTGCCTTGTAACACAGTAACCATTAAAACATCACAGTATCAATTACAAGGACTATCAAAATGATATTAAAAAAACAGCATCACAGCTCCACAGTCCTTCGTGCAGAAGTCTGCGGTCATCTAAGTGGACATTTAAAAAAAAAACACAGAAAAAAGAAAACCCAACACGCATACCGGGCAGTCTTCACCAGTTTGGTCATCAACGTAAGATTGGTTTTAAGGTTGGGGGGTTTTGCTCAAAAGCTGCACTTGATCGAGGCTTCTCTTATCGAGGGGGGACCGGGACGGAACGGGGAACCGGCTGCTTCCAAGTCCTTCCTGCAGTCGAGTGTTCGCAACATGGCATTCACAGCAAATCGAAATGGCCGGCAAGGCGGAATCCGTGTCCCCCTCAGAGGCTTGGTCTGGAGGAGGCCGGGGGGGGGGTGTCACAGGCCTTCCTCCACCACCTTCATGTGGGAAGAAGGGAGCAAGAGGGAGAGAGCCCCTGCCTGGATCGCTGCAGCCCCCCCTCTCTCACTTCTGGATAACTTCATGGGGGGGGGGACTGACTGACTTCCAATGCCACCCCCCCCAAAATAAAAGACTTAAGAGTACCCTGTGTGCAACTCTGCCCCCGCCACATGGGACTCCGTATGGATTGTAAACAAAAGAGAAATAGTTTCCTTGTGAGCAGAAAACCAAAAAACCCCAAACCCTAATTCAAGCAAAATCATAATAAGGTTATTTGCAAAGGTTTTCTATATACACACCCACATATACACAAAAGTATACTGGGAACATCTCCCCAAAACGAGGGGGGGGGGTATGATAAAAAAAACACCCCAGAGCCCCAATACAGACCAAAGACGATTAACGGCTTCCTTATTTAAAAAACAAGTCGCCCCATGTGCCCATATGCACGCACATGGCACCAACCCAGCCAGGTGGCCATCTGCCCGGCAGCACTTGCCACTCTTTGCCAGAGATACCACAGTGGGGGTCGGGGGGGGGGGGAGGGCGAGCGCAGGGCTCCACAGCTCAACCGCCGCCCAAGTCAGATACATTCAATTCTGCGCCGAGTGTGCGGCCAGGGCCGACGCCAAGGGTCCTCTGGCAGGCTGCCCCCCCCCCAGGAACACTTTTCAGCACAATTTGATTCTTATCTGTATCCAGATAACAAAAACAAAAACAACAACAACAACGGAATGGGGAAGGAGAAAAAGAGGCAATAAAAAAGTCACAACACTCAGGAGCTTATAAAAAGTGCAACTCGTACCCACACACGCAGGGAGAGAGGAGATCTTTGCCAAGGACACGACCGCCAAAAAACGCTTCAGGTGTGCGCATCGGGTGGGGTTGGGGTCACAAGCCTGGTAGCTGAATGAGCTTGGTGGGAGTGGCTATAAAAAGGGGGCGGAGCCTTGCAAGATCCCAGGAAGAAGCTGCCAAGAGGAATCTGGGATCGGCCTGTGAGCAAACCCGCTTTGTCGTTAGTGTAAATTCATTATCTTTTTTTTTGTAGAGGATTTTTCTTTTTGTTAGACAAACAGAAACGTACATCCAAGAGAGCAAAAAAAAAAAAAAAAAACCCAACAAGAACAAAAAAAAAAAGACACCAAAAACATAGAAGAAAACCAGGGTAGGCATTTTTGTGCAATTTTTTTTAAAAAAGAAAAAGTCTCATATAAAATGGCCTCTTTGTAAGAGAAAATATACTGTGCGGGGCTGGAGTCTCTGAACAGTATTTACACCCATGTAGGTATACAATTATCCAAAGGAGAAAAGAAAAAAAAAGTTCTTTTTTTTCTAAGTGCATTTCTTCAAGTTTTTTTTGTCTTATAAATCTTTTTTTTTTATATCAAGCCTTTGTGAAATTGCCGTTCACATTTTAAACTTATCCCCGTGTGAAAAATAAGTGTTCTCTTTTAAAGATAAACTTTTTTTTGTAGGTTTTCATATTTTTTTTAAAAAAAAATCTTTCAGAATCTCAAAAAAAACTTGTATATTTTTTTCCTTTTTTTGAATCTTGTAACAAGTCACTGTAAAAAAAATGTCTTGATAAAGTGCATGGCAGAAAAGGTTTTTGTTTGTTTGTCCATTAAGGTGCTTTGTAAGGAAAGAAGAAGTGCTAAACATCCTCCTTTGTCCAGCCAACTGACCCTCGTCGCCACTGACCACTCCGCCTCCTGCCCCTGTCCGGGGGGGGGCTGCGGAGGGCAGCAGACCATCTCCCCTGCAGTGCACTTTCACCCCCAACCGAAATTGGTGAAATCAAGGCAGCAGTGGCAGAGGGATTCCTATTGCTGAGGGGGGTGGGGGTGGTCAGTAGTCCTCCACTGGTTCCAGTTCACCCGCGGAGCCGTGAAGGGCATAGCCTGGAGGAGAAGGACAGGGCACATCAGGCAGGGGAGCCTCCCTGGCCCCCGCAGGGGACCCCCTTCCCACCCCCAGGCCAAGAGCCGCTCGCAGGCCCCCCCCCCCGCCGCTCCTCCTGCCCGCCCTGCCCCTCTAACCCAGGATGCTGGGGTCGGCGTGGAGCATCACTGGGCGCCTCTTGAGCTTCGCGGCTTGGCTGTTCTCGAACGATGGCTGCTTGGGATGGTGGTTGGACTGGAATAGGGACTGCAGACCGCTGGAGCTCAGCCAGGGGGCTTCCTACGTGGCGGACAGAAAGCAGAACCGGCTGCGTCACAGACAGAGGGAGCTGGCACGGTGGCAGACGCCCCTTTTGGCCTGGCTAGTGCCTACTGAGGGGGCTCGCCACAAGAGGGCGGAAGGCGGACAGCAAGGCCGAGCGCTTGCCCAGGGAGATGCCCAGAAGGCCCCTCCTGGGAGAAAGCCAAGGGGCAGGCGGGTCTCCCTTACTAGCCCAGCTCGGCCGGAATGGCTCAAATCCTGCTCACCAAGGCGAAAAGCAGAGATCCTCCTGATCCCGAGGACAGGACACAAAAGTACTGCTGCCGTCCCCGGCCCAGAGCGGACACAAAGCCACAAGAGACACCTCCCAGCCACGGGCAGTGCCGCTACGAGGCCAGGAAAGGCTCACAGCACCACCAGCCCAGCGGAGGGACAAGGAACGGACCAGAGGGGGCAGGAGAGGGATTGGCACCGTCCGGGGCCCACACAGCCTCTCCAGGTGCCACCCCACCCCACCCCACCCACCTGCTGCTGCTGGCGCTGCTGATTGGCTCTCTGCTTGGCACGGCGCTCTAGGAACTGCTTTGCGAACTCTTTGGCTTCCACGGTGTCCCCCAGGTAGGAGCGGATGCAGTCATGGACATCATAGGGGGACTCCACCTCCTTCAGGAACGCCACCACAGTGGGCACTGGGGGAGACGGGCGAGGCACATCTGTCAGGCCAAGCGACCCCCCCAGGGGAACAGGTGCGGGGAACAGCCACCCTTCCCACCAGCAGCCCCAGGGGGCGGCACCTCCCTCTGCAAGGCCGGCCGGCAGAACGTGGCCTCTGAGGCCCACACCCCTCCTCGCTCCCCACAAAGGTCCCGTTCGGACGCCCCCTACCCACTCCTGGCCTGTACCATCAAGGCTGCTGGAGGTATTGAGGGCATGGAGCATCTGCTCACACCACTGAGTGAAGCCGTCCTGGGGCTTGTGGATTCCCTGAAGCAGTTTCAAGAGCTTCTCCTCCTCATCCGTCTTCTTCCTGCTCTGCCGACAAGAGGCGCTGTACGTGTCCCTGAGCCGGAGGGAGGAGAGGGCAGTGGGGCCCAGGTGAACGCGCGAAGCTGCCTCCTGCCGAATCAGCCCCCCTCGGCCCACAGAGGTCAGGACTGGCCACTCCCGACTCCCGGCGGAGGCTCCGCACGGGGCCTCGGGAGGCAGAGAAAGGTCGCCCCCGTCACCTCCGGCCTGGTCCCTTTGAACCAGAGATGCTGCCGGGGGCTGAACCCGGGACCTCCTGCCTGCCTGCCAGCCAAGCAGAGGCTCTGCCACTGAGCCACAGCCTTTCACCTTCAACAGAAGTCGTCCGCCCCCCCCCCCGCCGCCGCCACAGCCCTCCGTCCTCACCCCAGGGAAGGGCTGCTGCGGCTGTTCTTCAAGCCCAGGCTCCGGGCGAGGGGGCCGGCGTTCTTCATGCTCTCTTCCCAGAGACTGATGGAGCTGCTCTTCTCGTGCCCCCCCCACAGCGGGCTGGAGTCCACCCCCCACTGAGAGGGCAGGCTGTTCAGGCTGTGGCCCTGGTGCTGCCGAGAGAGAGAGGGAGGGAGGGAGGGAGGGAGGGTCTGCAAGAGCCGCACAGCCCAGCCCGGCGACCCCCCAAGATGGGCCCCGGGGGGGGGACACCAGGTGTTTTAGGGAAGTGGGCGGGACCGGGGGGAGGGAGAGAGGGGACCTTTTCTGTCTCCTCCAACACCAAAGGCTGAACGTGTGGGGCTGGCTCCAGGTGTGGGACACCACCCGTGTGTGAGGAAGGTTGTGTTGCAGCAGCACCTCCAGGGGCCAAACGGAGACTGGGAAAGGACAGAGCAGCCAAGCCCCCTCCACCCACCCCTCCCACTCGGGGGGGGAGCAGGAGGGCAGCAGACAGGCCTCTGAGGGTGACCCGGAACAGCAGCTGGCCCAGAATGCACCAGGCACACAGCTGGCCAAGGGGAGTCCCCCGGAGTGCCCGTCTTCAGCACTGCTGGTCAGCGTGGCCCCAGAAGGCCCGACACAGGGTGCTGGCTGAAGCCTTGGCTTGGCTGAACTGGGCCAAGAGTCCTCTGCAAGGGGCCGGGGCCGGGCCCAGCGTCCACAGACCAAAGCCCTTCTCTGGGTGCCGTGCCCCCCCCCCCCCCGCACGAAGGACTGCCCCAGAGAGAGGACCTCCGGGAGACCCAGAGGCAGAGGCAGGGGTCCAGGCGGCCGCACCGGGCCTGCGGAATGAGCAGCACACTGGCCCTTCGTGGGGCCAGGCCGGAAGGGGGTTGTGGGGTCCACTCACAGCCCTCTGCTGAGCCCGCTGCTGCTTCTGCATGTGCCGCTCGGTCTCTTGCTGCAGCTCCAGCAAAGCCTTCATGGAGACATTCTGTTTGGACAGCCCTCCCCAGAGAGAGTGCGAATTCTGCTGCTGCAGGAGTTTCAGCAACAGCTCCTGCTGACGGCACTGGAGGAGGACGGTGAGGAGGGTGGTGAGACCTGGGGGTCAAGCCCTTCCCCGCCCTGGGGCAAACGCAGCTCCCCCCCCCCGCCCCCCCCCGCCGAGAGC